AAATAATAAAATTATAACTAAAACTAATAATAAAATAAGTAAGCGCATATTTAATATAAACAATATTGAAAAGTTTAAAAAACAATTATCAGGGCCGTAGAGAGAAGAAGGAGGAGGGCACAGGAAAACACGTGTTCCCTCCACCTCGTCCAATTTGCGTTTTTTAAATGTTGAAATAGAATATTTACTTGAATAATAAAAATTAGAGTTGCTTAAAAAAAGTTAAAAAATCGGAATATTCATTTAATTTAATAGTTATTTCTGTCAATACAACTGCTTTCTTTAATTCTCCTGCATTTGTCGAATTCTGAAATGAGAGTTCTTAATACTTCAAACTTAATGTTTTTAATATTTTAAGTTTTGTATAAAAATGTAAAAATAATCTTTTTCCTGCCGTTTTTAATGATTTAATTACCTTGAAACCTGCCATGGAATATTCTCTAAGAAATACCAACCTTCCATATGAGCTTTTTTGTCGAACAAGTTTTACCCATTTTGCATTGGTTACCGTGCACCCCATTTTTTGAATAAAGATGTTTTACCTAATTTTGATTTTAATCTACTTTTTTGCATCTTTTTAAAGTTAAGCTGAAAAATTTTTTACTATATCATATTATCAAAATTTAACAGCAATATTTATATTATGAAAACATTTATTAAACTTTACTAACTACACTAAAAAGTTATATGAGTATGTATATATTATTTTTTATATTATTTTATTATACTGCAGTTATATTTATAGTTACTTTATAATCTAATATTTTGTCTACACTAGTATAGCATAAGGTTCTGACGATAAGATCTTATTGCGCTTCTTTCAGATACTTCTCTAATTTTTTTTTTAACAGATAAAAACTGTTAATGTTTTAACTTGTTTTTTGGTACCAACATATGTAATAATTACTTTTTGTCATAGAACTGTTGCCAAAATAAATAGTAAAAAAATTTCTATAAATTTTGTACTTAATGGGACATTAATAATCAATTTTTATAGTTTGCGCCAACATACTCTGGGGTGAAGAAAGTTAAAATGCCCTATGAAATTTTTTTTTTTAATAAATGCAAGTTTAAAGTGTTACTTAAATTCATACTTTTAAAAAACGTGATTTAATATTTACAAAAAATATTTTGTCGTTATGACTACAGAGTTCTAAGAGTTAAAACAGAGGTAATTAGCTCCGGTCTTTCCTTGATTATTTTAAATTATTCTTATTTAATAGTTTCAAGCCTTTTAAAGGATTCATATATTTTTTGTAACTTTTGATGATAAATAATCAACATGAGTTTTCCATGACAGATTTTCATCAAAATAAAAATTGAGGAACTTTATAAAGGAATCTTTTTTAATTTCTACTCTACCGATAAAAATAAGATAATTCTTTAAGCAAAATACGTTTTTTTGTTAAGGAATCAATAAGTTTATTTTAATGCAACTGAACCAGGTAGAAATTTATACAAAATCCTTATTCAAATTCAAAAAAAGTTTGATTATGTCTTTGTCTGATAAATTTAAATTGATATCGTCAGCAAATACGAAGCTCATTAGATCCAAAGCTTTATTATTTTAATCATTTGAGCGTTTGTGAATAACTCAAAAATTGAAAACTTTAAAAATAATATCGCTCAAGTTTTCTTAGCAATCTATAATTGTTTCTTCAGTAACTTCTTTCGCACAGTTTTGTTTCTTTTTATAGATTAAAAGCCTTTTTCAACTTTTTTTGATAAATCTAGAAATAATTCATGTTAAAAAAACGATTTATTGGTTGATTTTAAAAATTGATTAATGGAAATATTAAAATAAAGAATCCTAATACCAAAAATACTTTTGATGTTTGTAAATTATTTATTATTTTATTTTATTTCACGTTGTTTATTTTATTACTTTTTCGTAGGATACTTAAGCAAGTTTTTTGTTTTTCTATTTTTTTGTATATATTCTTAATAATTGTTTTGAGTCATTTTTATAAACCTTTTGTTTAAGAAAAAAGAGTTTACTTTTTTAGATTGTTTGCTTACTTAAATCCATATATTGTAATACAAACAATATACGGACCATCTATCAGTAAGCGCTAAAAGTTTTCTAAAATAATTTTTAAAATGAGGGCAAATGAAATAAGTGTTAACAAAATATTTACGAAACGATTTTTTAGTAAATTATTATACTATTTATTTGAAGGTTAAAAAATTGCAAAACTTCATAAATTTAAACTGTAAATCAAATAAAGTTCAGCACAAACTTCAATTTAAATAAATTTTAAATTAAATTAAAAAAACTATACTGACCAGCAAACAGAAGGGACTAACTTTGTTGGCTTTACTTGTTGTTCTATTGGTTATCCAGGTAAAAAAACTTTTAAAAATTAAAATTTTTTGTTTTGAGAAAGATGACTAAGTAAGGTAATGCTAAATAACAGAGAAAGAATAAATTAGATTACTTTTAAATTTAATAGAGATTTTCAATGCAATTTTATTTTAACTCCAAATTTAAAACATTTTATTTTTATATGCCAATAATTATCTTTATAATTAACCACAACTCATGCTTAATAATCAATTACGATTATATATAACGACGTTAATGTTTATCTTCGACGTCACTTTTATTGTATTTTCTTTTGAATTGAGCCTTAAATATTTTTATTGAGTTTATTTCACCATGAAACTTTGGAATAAGGAATATTTATTGAAAATCGCTTCATAACTATTTTGCTTGAACGATTGCTCTTATTTTAAAGCTATTTTAGAATTTTTCTGAAAATTTCTTGCGATTTCTATTAGCCACAAAACAAACGATATCAAAATAATATTTTTTCATGAACTTATTTCAAAAATGTAAAAAAAAAGTATATATATATATATATATATATATATATATATATATATATATATATATATATATATATATATATATATATATATATATATATATATATATATATATATTATATATATATATATATATATATATATATATATATATATAATTTTAAGGCAATTTCATAAAAATAAAGAAAACAAAAAAATGAAAAAATTCAAAAAACGTTGGTCATGTTTATATTTATTTTTAATTTAATTTTAAAGTATTTCGGTTATAAAATATATTGGGTAGGTAGTCCAAATATTAAAATTTTGCTGCGCTTGCGTATAATAACTCACCGTTTTTTCTAATATCTAAACAACCGTGATGTCATAGTGCAACAAACTTTGTTAGAGTTAGCTTTAATCTTTTTTTTAATAAATTGACTTCCCTGTCTTTCCTGTCTTCCCTGACTTGAATACCAGTATTTATCTATTTAAACCAACAATCTAAATTTTCAAAAAGATTATTCAAAACTTTCTACCATTTGTCTTAAATTATCTTTATCATTCACTTTAGTTCAAAACAAAATGCTTACAAAGTAAAAATAAACATTTTACCACGTTTGAAAATTGTTATTATTTCAAAATTATTTAGCGCTTAAAATTGCGGATGATTGCAGCCACACTTCTCAGGGTAGTTAGTAGACGCGATAGACGAAAAAACATCAAAGTATGTAAAAGGTATAAATTGAAACAATTTTTTAATTCTAAATCAAAGTTGAAAACTTGTACTTCTGTGATAACTTGTTGTAACTTTTTAACTTTTAATGCATAAAAATTGTAGCACCAACCTTTTTAGTAAACTTTTTAACAGTTTATATTATAACCTTTCTAATCTTGCATATACTGTCAATTAGTTATTGATTTATATATATATAAAAAAAAAATACCGAAACCCAAAATCTAAATTTAACAAAAATACATTAAAAACCAAACTTCAAGAAACTAATACCACTGATCCTACCATATTTAGAAGTTCATATAATAAAAAGTTATTTGTGAGAGTAACAAAACCCACTGTCAGACATTGTTTGAATTATGTCACTTTTTTAATATTTGACTATACAATTTCCGCACCCGTGTAACGTTAAAAGGCACCATTTTCTTTCCAATTACTAGTCAAACAGTATGTTAAGTGCGTACCAGGTTGACACTTATTCTGAAATATGTTATTGAACTAACTTTTTGGTATATCTTTGTATATATAACTTGCACTCGAAATTTTTTTTTATTATTTCAAATAAACGTCTGTCAGACCTTTATAGATGTAAGAGATTAATCTAAAAATATTTAACCAAATATAATTTACCAAAATAATAAAGATTTCTAAAGTTCAATTTAAAATACTATTTAACACTCTTTTAAGGAAAGTCTTATTCTAAAATATTATTTGCAGAAAAAGATTGAGTAATAATGAGTTGACCCAAAATAAATTATGCCCCCAACTCCTCTTTGTTTCTTTTAAGTCTGACCAATTTGAGTGTGTTTTACAAAAATGTTTCAGTAATTTTTTAAAATGACTTTTGTTAAATAGTCACTAAAGCTAAAAACAACTATTTAAAAAAATGTTTTAGATCATTTTAACATTTTAATACAACTCTTTAATTAACTGATTATTTTTAATGATTAGAAAAATGACCCTGATTAGATTTACTAAAAGACTAACCCTGATTAGATTTACCCACCACGTGTAAATCATTTAATTTGAAATATATATTAATTTTTGAACTTGTTTTTAAGTTAAAGCTCTTTAAAATCATTAAAAACTTAAACTTCACAAAAAAAACAAAAACTATAACTCTCTATTTTGGAAAAAACTAAGATGCCAGATTTCAATTTTTTTTCAAAAAGTATCCATCGCATACTTATTATCTTTAAATAGTTGAAGTGTAAAAATAACTTGTTCAAAAGTTATCATCTGCTCAAATAAAAAAAAAAAATCATTTTGTTTGTAGAGTGTAATTCAATGCAAAATAACCCTCTACCCGAGAAAAAAAAACCCGCTAATACTACTAGGAATATGTTTAACTTCCTGCTAATCCTGTTAAGTTCCTGCTAATACGGCTAATCCTGGTAAGTTTTCGCTTAATACGGCTAAACCTATTAAGTTTCCCATTAGTGAAATGACGTTTATGAATTTCCTGCTAATCCTAGTAAGTTCCTACTAAGTACTTATCAGGATTAAACGATTTACTTAGTAAGTTCCTAGTAAGTTTTCAAGTATAAAAAATCGTCTTTGTTATACGCCATCTTTTATTTATTCACACGGAAGACAAGTCAGCCATAAAACAGCTTTTTTAGATTTAATAGTTTTACTAATTAATATTTGTAATTCTATAAAGAAAAAGCTCAAGAACATCTGGGGATGATTGCATGGTTTGCAGTTTATTTGATGAATATTTGTTAATGTGTTATAATGTGGTTTTAAATGTTAATTTTAACTCTATATAAATTCGAGCATTTTTTGTTGTATCAATTCGAGAATTTTCTGATTCATTGTGATATGTATGGTGATGTGTTTTTTAAATTATATTCTATTTTTATTTCTGATTTTTTTATTTTCATTGTTTATGATTTTATATTGTTTAATAAACATAAAATCATAAATCATAAACAATTATATTGTCACTCTTTCTTTTTACTATTTCTTTTTACTAA